GCACTGGATGTCAACTGCCACAGTGACGCAAGCTATTGAACACATGAAAGCCGCAAGCATAACGAGGGTGAAAAAAGACTTGTGTGCACCATCCCTGTTAGAATCTCCGGTCTGATACCCAGCCCATGTGGCTGAATGGTACACATACATGACCTGTTGATAAACAGACCAGAGTTCAAATCTCGCTGGCATTGTACTAACAACAAAATCACTCTGAATTACCGGGCTGGCATCGTACTAACAAAATCACTCTGAATTACCAGGCTGGCATCATACTAACAAAATCACTCTGAATTACCTGGGGGCCGTAAGTTTGACAATGATACGCCTCAAGGCCATCGTCCTTTCACTAAAAACGAAAGAAAAGTGTCCACTCCGATATGCAATGGCTACTTCCATCAGGGAGATGGTGGAGTGATGGGGATGCTGATGAAAGATCTTCTACTTCTTTTTCTCATTGATTTGATTCATTAGTGGATATAAGATGACACCACAATCGGGTTTTGCATAGGACTCTTACATCTCCAAGGTCCTGAAGTGGCAGCGGCGCCAGTTTTTCAATCCGTGTGTCACCCCCCCCCCTTCTTCGGCATATACTTTTCCACGCGCTTCACACCCCAACCCAAGAGACTCGGCAGAGAATGGCTCTCCCTGATAGGGACTCGGCGGAGAACTAGTCTCCAGTGTGTCCCCCTTCTTCAGCATAATATACTTTTCCGTACCCGCTTCACACCCCGACCCAAGAGACTCCATGCACAGAAGAAAAACCCTGAAAGAAAGAATGCAACTGTGAAGCTTCGAAAGAGTTCCGTTTCTTTCAAACTTCCATGTGGTTTTTGCACTTGATGTGGTGAAGCATCACTCACTGCAAACAAACAGTGCCAAACTATGACAAACACTAACATTACTTTAGTAACTTTACTACTTTCTTTCTTTTTTTTTTTTTTTTTTGAAATACTGGCCCTTAAAAAAAAAAAAAAAACCTTTAAAAAAGACTGGCCCTCTTGGGCTTGACTCCTTTTATTCTGGGGAGCGTCAGTCTGGTTCGTGTTCCACCGGCAAGACAGCAGTACATGCAATCAGACTCGAGTTCTTCACACTTGTCATGCATGCAAACAGCGAAACAGCAAACTGGCGACATGCGCCCACACAGTACTCAAAGATATCGTAACCAGGTAGGAGTTCCCTTCAAACTGGCTATGGCGACTGAGCGCCCACACAACTCACTGTTCGCACTCTGGATCACCCTGGATGTCCCACACGCAACACTCTACACGCAACACACACACACACACACGCTACTATAGCTATGGCAGCTATGGCTGCCACTATCCTATCGCTACACTACACTTCTCTGCCCTCTTCGTCTTCGGGCGCACTGCAGACCTCCTCGCACAAGCTGCTGAGGCAGCGCTTCCGCATGGCATCCGCAGGAATGAATGAATGGCTGGACGCAGCCTCTTGATTTATACTTCTGAGCGGCGTTGGTCTGCCCTGTATCCCTTGGCCCACGATGTGCACAGTCCCAGACGGTACTTGCTTGACTGGACCGGACTGGGCTACCTGGGACTGCTGACTCTACGTAGTGGACCTACACCACTTGCCCACTTGCCTCGGCCTAAACAGGGGCTGACTCCGAAAGGCCAGTTCTAGAAACTTCTACTTTGGCCTTTCGGTACTGTAGCAGCTACGACTTTGCCCTTTCAGGTAAGTAGCAGCTACGACCTTGACCCTTCAGACATCCTACAGCTACGACTTCGGAACTGTCTAGGCTCCTACCCTACAGGTCTACAGTTCGATTCCCTTCTAAGCTGTGACCTACGACAATCTACATACCACTGGCGTTTCGACAGGTCGCAGGTTCAAATCTACGGGTTGTCATCAATACTGTACACAGGTAAGATGGGGATGGGGAACTAGGGATCGAGCCCTGGGATCTGCATTTGCTACTGCGAACTGGTGAATACTGTTTCACTCCCGCCGGCCTAAATTCGAGGTCCTCCAAGAAAATTTCAGTCCAAGGCAGGACCTTTACCCTTCTGCTGTCTTTCATAGGCCCGGACTATATCGGGAGCTGTCTCTAGAAGTTCAGATCTTGTAAACCAGCAGTCGTCTTCTGGTTCTTGATAACTAAAATGAACCTTATACTGTTTTTGCGGACGACCCCTACCTCCGGTTCTGAAGACATCCTCAGCCACTATACCGTCT